AAGGCGCCCTCCTCACCATTGCCACCCCCATTTTAATCGTCACCCTTCCGCTCATTAACGACTTCCAGTTGATGACCGCCCTCCCACCTATTGGCGACCTCTTGTTGATCGCCACCCTCCTATTGGTGCTCTCCTGTTCCTCGCCACCCTCTTACCTGGTGGCGCCCTCCTGTTGATTGTTGATCGGGGCCCTCCTACCTATTGGTGCCCTCCTGTTGATCGCTGCCCTTCTATCCATTGGCGCCCTCCTGCTGCTCGCCAACTTCCTACCTATCGGTGCCCTACTATCGAAACTCGGGATGTTGATCGGGGCTCTCCTACCTATTAGCGCCCTCCTGTGGATCGCAGCCCTTCTACCTATTGGCAACATCCGTTGATCGCTGCCCTCTTATCATTTATTTACTCCTTTGGCATGTTTTTCAACTTAGTCGTTCTATTGCACATAGTTGATGTCTTGCCTGTGAAAACTGCCACAAATGAACGTGCATTCAGCACAATGAATGAAGTACCTATACCTACCAAAACTATCTACGCTCTACGATGCATAAAACACGTCTTTGGTCTTAACGGATTGATCCTACTTTACGTGCATCATGGCATCTATATGGATTACGATTAAGTATTGTCAACAGGTTCGGCCGCAACAGCAGGCATCTGAAGTTTCGGTGATTGAAACTGGTTATGTGGGTACACTGTATGCATCTGTGAGAAGGCTATGAAGGCTGGTCTGAGGTAATTTGGATGATGTTTACGCATCTCGCGCTCCGGTATCAATCCGATACGGTGATCTGGTGCGTAGATATGCCACCGCCAATAAACTTTTATACATCGACACCCATGAGCCAAGCTTTCTAAACAGTTTGTGTGGCAGCGGCCCGACCAAACCTTTGGTATTTTTTACACCTTCAAATTTGGTAAAAGAGCGAGAGGAGCTTTGAACGGTGATCGTATAAAAGGCGTGCCTAAAAAGCGGAGGAAAAGGTTGTTTTCAAAAATTTCGCGCGCCTTCGGCGCAGCATTTCAAGAACACTTGACCTTTTGTGACCTGGAGTATAAAGAATACACACGATGCAAAATCAATGCAGCACGACCTATACGAGGTTACGCAAAAAAAAAAACTGGTGGCATGGTAAAAAACGCCTCCCAACCCCCCCCCCCCCACCCCGCTGAGCGATTTTTTATCTCGCGACCGTATGGCGCCCTCCTTGGGTGAGGTGGCGCCCTCCAAACCCTTGGCCCCCCCCTTCGCGATTTTCTAAATACGCCGCTGCCCAAAAACCCCCATTGCACAGCAAGAGGCACTGCACTGTGCACTGTGCATGCCAGCTGACAGAAGGAAGTAGTGATGTCAATTACAGAAAATCGGAATACCGATACCAAACCAAATACCGGCCAAAACCGTGGGGAAATACCGAAACCGAACCAACTTTGAAAGATGAGGGAACTACCAACTTTTCACCAATTTCTTAGCCTCTTATACATTAGTAAGGGCTCATAATGCCAACAAAATACCAAACACATTAGGATAGAAATACCAAATACCAAGTTGGTATCGGTTTGGTATCGGTAAACCAAAAAGTTGGTTTCCGATTGACATCTCTAGAAGGAAGTGGCCTCTCGGGTGTGCCGCCTCACAGCCTTCACCCCACAGCTGCGGTGTTGACGGGGGGGGGGGGGGGTCTTCCGCCTTTGAATCGGTTACGCCCGGCACTGTACCGTGGCAGACGGCCGTGAGACGCCACTGCCGCAGCCAGGCCGACTTCCGCTCCCACAAGGCCAGTTCCCAGGCCGCCAACCGCTTCTGACCCGCCCCTCCCCCCACTATGGTCGCGGCTCCCTGCCGCGTGACTGGATGCGGAGGTATGAACAAATTGCCTGCCAGCTGTCTCCCTTTGAGCATTTATCGCCACGCCATCTGTGTATCGCTCATGATTGTAAATGCATACATACATGCAAACATAGTATATACATGTACTTCGGACGCTGCTGAAGTGAATACAGGGTGTTCCAAAAGTAGCGTTGTCATTTGTTTTGATCACATCTCCGAAAATTTGCGATGGATAGAAATAAAAAAGATGTTATATGAAAGAACATTTTATATAATTTTATTGTGATATTAACACGCGCACCGACGGGGGTCTGCGCCAACTTCGTACCGACGGGGGGGGGGGAGCGGATGACCGCCCCCCCCTGAGATCTCGAGAACGAAGCAAGATAGCGACAAGCGGTAAACGGCATCGGATACGCACGGTAAAGGTCTACAATTTTTTACAAAGGTCATTTTCAGGTCAGGTCAAAGATGACGTCACAGGGGTCGAAAAAGTCAAAATGGCGGCGCTAGATATGGAGACAGTTTTTCTCGAATAACTTTCGAATTCGTCAAGATAGGAACAAACTAGGGGCATCATCGTGATCCTCTCGTCAATCCGCATCGAATGATATATGTTGACCTCGAAAGGTCAAGGTCAAGGGTTGACCTCAGGCCACGTGACCTCGAGGTCATCATGTATATCATCCGATGCGTCTTGACGAGCTGAACACAATGAGACCATCCGCGCGGCTGTATCTTGTTCCTGTACGGAGTTATTGGCCAAAAACCTTTGGTGACCTTTGATGACGTCACATGACCTTAAGCTGCCCAACAGCAAAACAGACCTCAAGGTAGTGAAGATTGATCGTACATGAAGTCATGTATGGTATATGGGGCCATTCCGACCCGTTTTAGTGGTAAAAACAGGGAGTTGATTTTTCCCCCATTGACTTATAATGGGGAGGTCGCGAAATTGACCTGACCTTAGGTCACCGATATAAAAATTCCGAGATATACAAATTGTAGCTACTAATGACCTTATAACATCCTGTGACTTTCAAAGGCCTCAGACATCTACTGTAGCTCTGGCACGGTGACAAAGTTGCAAAAAGTGACTTGAGGTTGGGTCACTCAAAGTGACCTGGTGACCTGACCTTAAAAGTTAGGAGGTTCAAACTTGCACACCATATGTAAAATTGATGGAGGAATAGTCGTACTAAATTTCGCGTCGCTACGCGCCGCGGTTTTCCCGCTATTTGCGAAAAACCTCAGGGGGGGGGGGCGGGCGGATATCCGCCCCCCCCGTCGGTGCGCGTGTTAATATGAGTCAATGTATTGGTTCGTAGCCCCACGTTTAGCGCTTTTCTGCATGGCTACCATTTCGGGTCGCGAACATGAACGGACATAACCCGGGTTAACCCGCGCCCCGTTGGGCTCTGCCGAGAAACGCGCCCTGTTGGGGGAGGGGCAATTTGCCCCCCCCCCAAGCGGCAAACGGTGTTGGATAGCCCCATCAGGGAACTACCTTGTGACCCAGTTTTATTGACATAGGTCAAACTGATGACGTCACAGGTCAGGTCAAAGGTCGAATTTTCATCGTTTACAGGCATTTCAAGAAATGCGTTGTAAAATCGAGTAAAATGCATTTCATTGAAAATTATCGATGGGGAAATGTTCTTCAAACACATATTTTGCTATTTGAGGTCACTGATACCAGGTCAGGTAACAGAGGTCAGGTCACTGAGGGTCACAATATGAAAATATCATGTGATGCATGTATTATGGTCCATTTTACATGCCAAATACGATTATGTGGGTCAGGCAGCCTTTGGGGTCAGTTTAGATTATGTTTTGGTGAAGGTCAGGTCAAGGTCAGGTCAAAATCAGGTCAAGGTCAGGTCAAGGTCAGGTCAAATTAAGTCATATTTCAAAATTGATATTTTTGCATAAAATGATTATCGATTCGATGCAGCTCGTCACGGGGAGTTCAATGGTGGTCTTTGTTCTGCCCTACGTGGTCTAGAATCGCTAAAAATTGAGTTCAAATGTTTGACGTCATCATTTTTGAACAGTTTTTCGCTATAACTTGGCCAAAAAACCAGATATCGATCTGAAATTTGGTATGTTTATAGAAGAGCGCAGGGACTATCACATTTATTCCGTTTTTTTTCGAAATTTTTATTTTTTTATTTTTTATTTTTTCTAATAAATTTTGGGGGTCAAAAGCCCAACATTTTGACAATCCGAGATAGCAGTTTTGTAGCGCCGCTTTTTGTCAACATGACCAACATAACATATAACAACATAACATATAAAGAGCTTTGAAATTGCTTCGTAACTGTAGATTTGGTGAGCGTTTCAAGATTGCATGTTTTTTTGCTCATTTTTGCTCGAACATGACCTCAGTTTGACCTCAATGACTCCTGACCTAAGGTGAGCTAGGACTTGAAATTTTGTGTGAAGGTGTCAAATTGATGCCCGGGAAGGTACTGAAAATTTGGCGGCGCTGCGCGTCGCCGTTTTCTTGCTATTTAGGAAAAACCAAAGGGTGCTAAATTTCCCCCCCCCCCCCCCCAACGGGGCGAGGGTTAAGGGTGAATCATAGCTCACTCGACGAGTTTCGACGAGAGGAACACGATGCCGGTAAAAGTAAGCGCTAGGAAGTTTTGTGTCAAAAGTTATTGCAGAAAAACCGCTTCCTTAAAAAGCGTCTACTTTGACAGTTTTTGCCCTCTGGATGCTAAGCGAAGTAGTTGACGTTAGGTCAAAGCTAAGAACAATGTACAGAAAGAGAGGTAATAGAGCCATCGAAGGCGTTTTTTTTTTTCGTGGCGCTGTGCATAGCTCTATCTGTTTCTGAGCTATGCGTCACCTTGTCAAAATTTGTCGAAAAAGGCGAAATTTGACCTTTGGTGACCTCTGATGACTTGACCTTTGACCTACCCTAAAAATGAACAAAGTAATTACGTCATTGTTTTGGACGCTCCTTTGAACGCCGCTTACCACGTGCCGCTACGTGGCTCAGGATCCGACTGAGGGAAACCCCCTCCCCTAGAAGGCGTGGATATCCAGGACCCCCAGCAGGCCGCAGATTAACGAAACGATTGCTGGGTCCATTTATATGCGATAGACTGAAATGCGTTTCTCTCATCGTTCCTCCTCCGGAATGTGCGAGACCTGATCCTGACTCACTCTGGGAACCTGGACTGCCTGGAACGCGCATTGAAACCTCACGTTCCAAGGCTAGCCGGATCCGTTTGGGGGGAGGGGGCGTTAGGGGGAGGCGCCGTGACGTAGCACGTATTTACGCTGCCAACTCTGCCCGCAGCCGGGGCTGTCCGTCGAGCCACAGTTGAGCACCAGCCAGCCAGCCGGTCGGTCGTACCTCAGTAGGCGTTCGTCAGCGCGCGACTTTCTCCCAGCTTTCACTCGCGTTGAGCCGCGTACGGACGCAGTTCTCTCTCAGCGCCGATCCAGCACACACAGTCAAGATGGCTATGACGGACGGTTGTAGTAATTGTCTCAAATACACCTTCGGGTTTGTGAACCTGGTGATTCTCATCTGTGGCGGCGTGCTGCTAGGCGTGGGTATCACAGCGCTGGTAGGCGACAGTGCCCAGCTGAACGAACTGTTGGACACCAACCTGTACACGGGAGTGGCCATCGTCATCACAGTGGCCGGCGGCCTGATCGTGCTTATCAGCTTCCTCGGCTGCTGCGGAGCCTTCCAGGTGAGTTAGAGAGAGGGAGGGAGAGAGAGAGAGAGAGAGAGAGAGAGAGAGAGAGAGAGAGAGAGAGAGAGAGAGAGGGAGAGAGAGAGAGTTTCAGCAACAACTACGGCAGGTGCTACCCGCTGCTGCAGGGCGGCAAGCGCTGATGTTGATGATGTTGTGGTCGGAGTGGCGCTGCCAGGTGCTTCAGGGTTGCCAGGCGCTGATGTGAGTTTGGTGTATGGGGAAAATGGGAACGATTGGTTGGGAAAGGGATTGATATCGTGTGACATCCTGTGGTTGAACTGACACTTGACAGCAACGGTATCATTTTCGCGTAAATATGGGCTGATAATTGCTCGTTTTTACGTGCAAAATGGTACCTACATACATAATTATATTTGCTTTGACGCCACGAATCTTACTGGAACTTGCAATTGTAAGAACTTTCATTAAAGTCGTCCCTATGTCAATGTAGGAGCATGGTCATTGGTCAACGACCAATGTTCAATGGCCATTGGCCATTGGCTAGGCATGTGATTAGTGAAAGCGTTGAAACCTTTAGCAAAAGATGATTTAGAGTTTGACCTTTGTTGGTGTGCCGGCTGTGCCGCGATGACCTCTGGCACAGGAGAAAAACTGGCCTGGCCCCTTGCCAGCATCAACGTTTCAAAAACTTGATCCACCTCAAGTGTATACTAAATTATTTCACTATATATGACAGATCGAAACAGTTTTTGACCATTTTCAATCTGCTTTTTCTTTGGACGGTACAATTGTCTCGTCGTCTCGAGCGGCAATAAACAATTTTGATGCCCTTTCTTTAGGTGTCTTAACCTAAAGGAACCTGTTATAGTCTTTCGAAGAGGCCACGTATTACCCATGCCAGTAACTAGCATCGTCACATAGCTAGACCTCCGCTTGATTTCTCCCCTTCCCTCGGCATTGGTTTGAGGTGGCGCGTTGCGGACCGCAGGCTGCCGATCTGGCCACGGCCAGCCACAGTTGGCTCGGTCCCGGCCGCCACAGGAGCAGCTGTGTTGCTCACACGCTGGCAGCCGGCCGAGGTCGGATTGGCAGCTGCTCACCACGTGTGTCAGACTCAGAGCGCCCCCGCCCCGTCCCCGGCACCCGCCCCCTGCTCTGTCACTCTCTCTCTCTCTCTCTCTCTCTCTCTCTCTCTCTCTCTCTCTCTCTCTCTCTCTCTCTCTCTCTCTCTCTCTCTCTCTCTCTCTCTCTCTCTCTCTCTCTCTCTCTCTCTCTCTCTCTCTCTCTCTCTCTCTCTCTCCCTTCTCCCTCTCCCTCTCTCTCCCTGTCTCCCCTCCCGCTCTCTCCCTCTCGCTCAGTCTCTCTGTTTTGCTCTCTCGGTCTCCCGTTTCCTCTCGTGTTCACCCATCCCTCTACCCTCCACTTTCTCCCCTCCCTCCCTCCCTCTCCCTACCCGCGCCCACCACCATCGACAGGACGTGCGGCCCCGCTTCCTCCACACAGCTGCGGGGCAGGACGTGATAGAAGTGGCGTCCTTCCTTCCTTCAGGAAGCCTACCTCCTGTCAGAGGCTCTGTCCTTCCAGCTGGCGAAATCTGCTATCGTGGGACCGGGCGCATCCGGTACCCCTGGGGCTACTCAAATGGTCTCAGTAAGGTCACGTTAAGGTCACTTGCTGGGTCGAATCCTGTTATGAGTCAGCATGACGGGAATAAGCTGATTCATATGTGACAAAGGCGGCACAGTTGGCGCGACTCGGTTGCTGAACACCGTTAACGTCACTGAAAAACCCACGTTGGCAAGCTTAACATTATGGGGACCTTATTTTCTACGCCGTAGGGAGAAGATACAAGCATAATACAAGATAAGCCGTGTACCCCAAACCAGTCGGCGAACGAAACGTAGTTCGCTCCTCGTCATACTGAAGGCTGGCGTCAAAAAAGGCAGTGTCAGACCACATGCAGCAGTAGTCCACCGAGCGGCGTGGTTCGGTGCCGTGTGAAGGGCGCCATTTTTTCCCGCCATTTCCATCCGGCCGGCTGTCCGCGCCCTTCACGGATCGCCGGGACACCGTGTAATGGCTCGGCGGGCCCACGAAACCACTCGGCGTGCCGGGCCCGGCAGCGGCGGCCCTCCCTCCACAGTGCAGTGCGCCCGAGGTCGAGCGCCCACCCGGTCTCACCCGGGCGGCTGGTGGCCTCGATTGACTCGGTGCGGCTCGAATGGAGGCCTGAATGTGGCTTTGTGTGGCCTCGCGAAGGCGGCTAGACTGGCCTCGACTCTCATGTGGCGCCGGTTACATGAGGAAACTCGACCAGCAGCCGGTAACGCGACACCGTTAGCGTTCACTGCGCCGCCGCTGGGTTCAATCAACTAATACACGGGTCGAACACTGGATCGAGTGGATTCTGAAGCCTGCACGCGCCATGGGTAATCATAATATCATTTGTGATGCCTGGTGCCAAACAACCCTCCCCTCATCCTCACCGGGCTTCCATTACGTTCACGTATAGAGCAGTTGGGGCTTCCAGGTGCCAGTCACCGAATGATGGAAACCATTTACCTGTTGCGTGTAAAGCGTGCTGCCGATAACAGAGGAAAACGTTAAATCCAAGGACAACTGACGTCACAGAGAATATGGAGTCCACTCTAACATGCCAGTGCTGAGTTGTCTTTTTATGACAGGATAAATTGGGGAATGCAAGGGCTCGTTATACAAACGAGCGCCTGGCGGAAGTACTTTGCGGAACGGTACAAATGTACAAAGGTTGTATCTTTGTGTGGCTGGCGCCCCTTTCGATTCAGACACAGCGCCTGTTCTGCTCGAGGCCACCTGCAATCGACATCAGTGCTGCCCTCTACCCCTTTTCAGCAGCACCCACCTGATCATCCGTTTCTCTTTGTTTCAGGAGAGCAAATGTCTACTCGGCACTTTCTTCTGCCTGGTGCTCATTCTGTTTATCGTGGTCGGAGCTGGAGCAATTGCCGGCTTCGTGATGGGAAGCGACTCGATCCTGGAGCAAATTAAAACTGGTCTGCAAAAGTCAATGAACGATTACAACGAGAAGGACTCCGTCCAGCAGTCCTGGAACTTCCTGCAGGAGAACGTGAGTGATTACATTGGATTTGGGGTATCGATGCTAGAACTCGGGTGTCAATCAATGCAACAACTTACAACGTCACAAAAATGTCAATCACCGTTTCTAATATCGGCATCAAGGTTCCAGAAACTGATATTGGAATGGGCAGTGCTCCCAAAAAGAGCCTAGAAGTCAGAACGAAAGCTTAATCTTAGTATCGATCATCGCTAGATCACTATTCAGCAGTACCAGGTAAATGCTTAGCCAAGGAAGCACAGGCAATAGGCATCATACCCAATATGTATGCACTGGCATGCCACTCACATTGCACTGGCATTTGACGCGTGCTCTGCACAGCCATATGACCCACGTTGTGCTGACATTTGACCCACATTTCGCTGACACTTGACCCGCTCCGTTCCAGTTTGAGTGCTGCGGCGTGGACGGACCGTCCGACTGGGCGCGCGTGCTGGGGCCCAACAACGTGCCTCGCTCCTGCTGTATCAAGGACAGCGAGGGTAACCCGGGCGCCTGCGGCGCCGACAGCAACTCGTATGACGACGGCTGCGTCGAAAAGCTCGAGGACTTCGTCAAGGGCAACAGCAAGCTGTTCGGCGCGATCGCGATCGCCGTGGCGGTCTTCCTGCTACTGTCAATGATCGTGGCGTGCGTGATCATGAAGTCAATCTTCTAGACTGTTTTAAAAGTTACTTTCCAGTGGGCGATGGAATGAGCAAGTGAACTGTTGAAAGCGATGGTGCCTTCTGAAAGTGGTTTGCTAGTGCAAGCGGTGGCTCCAGACAATAGCCTGTCTGAGACAATTAACCGGTGCTATGCGTGCCTTACTTCTCCAATTCCCGCATTCTTTTATGACATATTTTTTATGTCATCTGATCTGATAAAGATCTGAAAAGATGCCGAAGGTTACCTGATAGATTTTCGCTAGAAAATTCAGCCTGGCGGTAATGAAACTTTTTTCAGAGTTGAAGGGCGCAGAATACAACATTGGGATTACCGTTTCGACAAATAGAGACGTCTGGCTCAGGGATAAAACTTTTATGCCCATAGCCCAGACATCCTGATCGCAGTGCAGGCATGATAATCTCAATGTTGGATCTGAGTGCCCTGGGACAGTGTGTGAGTTTTGATTAGCACTCGGTACACAGGGGAGAGAGAGTGCTTTTCCCATCGATCGCCTTTACAATATTGTACATTTTTGTCGTTTAGGAAGTGCTATATAGTGTTGTGTATTTCTAGTGTGTATCTTCCACTGAAAATACCACATTGGTGATATTTGGTTCAAATTCGACATGCAAATCTGTATCACTATATTTTTAAGTGCAGTAGAAAAGCTGTGCCCTGGATCTGAAGCTAACGTCATCACTTTATCTTTATGCACATTGATATATCACAACAAATGTCCGCATGTCATGAATGCGCAAGTTGTGATTGGTGTGTTTGATTGCATATATTCACTATGTCTACATAATTGCAGGACATGAATGTATGCACATACCGATGTGATTTGTGTCAATAAATAAGGATGCTCCTAATATAGTTTTAGGGCTTCTTATATGGACGTCGATGTGTTTGGGAATCCGAAAAAAACAGACGGTATTTAGTACAACATTTTTAAAGGCATCGCTCTATCTCAGAAACAATAAACTTTAGAATTGAAAATGGTTCATGTAATTGAAAGATTAACCCGGCAGGCGGTGGGCCTACCAGCCACCTTCCGCGCGGTGGGGGGGGGGGGGCATTTTTTTGCCCCCCCGTATCTCCGAAACTACTGCACGGATCCGGAAAATTCAAACGGCGTTCGATAGCCCTGTCAAATTTGTTCAGAGAAACCAAATTTCATTGACCTCGGGGTCACCGATGACGTCACAGGTCAGGTCAAAGATAAAATGTTTCACCGATCACGGGCTTCTAGGGAAAGCGCTATAACACCGAGTAAAACGCATTTTGTCGAAAATCAGCGATAAGGCGTCAGTTGTCTAGTAAATATGTTTTTATTAGAGGTCACTGGTCATACCAGGTCAGGTCACAGGTCAGGTCACCAAAGGTCAGCAAGGGTCACCACATGAGCCCAACTTTACTAAGGTTATGCGATGCATGTTTTATGGCCGGTTTTTCATTTCCAACTCAATGGTGTTGGTCATAAGACCATCAGGTACGGTTTAGGTCACTTTCTGGTGGAGGTCAGGTCAAGGTCAGTTCAAAAAAGGTCAAATTTCAAAGTTGATATTTTGCATAAAATGGGTATTGATTCGATGCAGCTCGTCACGGGGAGTCTAATGGTGGTCTTTGTTTTGCGCTACGAGGTCTAGAATTGCTAAAAATTGAGTTTGAAAATTTGACGTCATCAATTTTGAACAGTTTTTTCGCTATAACTTGGTCAAAAAAAGAGGCATCGATCTCAAATTTGGTATGTAGATAGAAGGCGGTAGGGACTATCACATTTATTCCGTTTTTTTTGAAATTCAAAAAACTTTTTGGATTTTTTGGCTATTATATTTAAAAAAAAATTATTTTTTGATTTTTTGGGGTCAAAATCCCAAAAATTCGAAAAACCGAAATAGGAGTTTTGTAGCCCTTTTGATTCCACACCTTTTATGTTGAAACATTTTTCTGATTCTCTAAAGCTGTAGGCCTGACAGCTCTTCCCGCGAAACCTTTTTTTGTGTCGAAAATGGCAAAAATGACGTCACTCTGACGTCATTAGCGGCCAACCTATCATAGCCTTTGGAAAAAATTTTGTTCACCATGTGCGCTAGCTGCTCCCGGGAGGGTACTGAAAGTTTGGTGACGATCGGCGCAGCGGTTCTCGAGATATATTGAAAAAAACTAAAGGGGGGGGGGCAAAGAAATGCCCCCCCACCGCCTGGAAGGTTAATGAAAGATTCATAAAAAAGTCTGCAAATTTATTCAAAGTAACAAATAAGGAAGCAAATCTGTGAAGTTATTGGAAATCAGGGAAATATTTACGGAAGTATGTACTCCCTGCATTACCAATACCATGCATGCCAATACTTAACCCGCGCCCCAGTGGCGGTCTCAGCCAACTTCGCCCTAGTGGGGGGGGGGGCATATGTTACCACCTACCTCTAACTCAAAAACTAAGAGGGCTAGAAAGACGCGGTAAAAAGTAGTCGATAGCGCTCAATGCGTACGTTTGAAAGTATTTCAGTCATTTTTCATCTTAGAGCAATATTGGGGTCACCAGAGGTCATCAAAGGTCAAAATTTGCCAATGGTCATTATATTTTTCAGAAAACATTCCGTTATCTCAGGAACCATGGTAGCTAGAAAAGCGCATGGAAAAACAATCGATGGCTTTTGAACTCTTCTTTTGATAAGGTCATATCAAAATTGACCTCAGGTCAACGATATAGCCTCCAGAGGGCAAAAACTCCAAAAATAGCTGTTTTTACGAAAAGTGTTTTTCGACAATAACTTTCGACTACAAAAGGTCACGACATTTCTATTGCCAGAATCGTGTTCCTCTCGCCGAGACGCGTCGAATGCACTATAATTTGACCTTGAAAGTTCAACTTGAAAATTTGACCTCAGGTCAAGGCCATGACCTGACCGGAAAAGGTCATGTTGCATATCAGTCGATGCGTCTCGGCAAGACAAACACAATGAGACCATCCCCAGCGTTCTATCTCTTTCCAATCGCGAGTTATGGGCAAAAATCTGTTTGTAGCCCCAAATGACCTCGGATGACCTTTCTAGAGGCTATCAGCAAAAATGACACCTTGGTCATCACGGGTGGTCCAAATCATTGTGATTCTGAAATATTTGGACTGTTCCTATGCGTACACACGGATCTAGAGGCATTTTTATTTTTCTCCCTTGACTTGTAATGTAAAGGTCACGCAACTGACCTGACCTTAGGTCACGGATATAAAAATCCGAGATATAGAAATTGTAGGCGCCCACAACATCATGCAATCCACCAAGTTTAAAACCTTTCTGACAAACACTGCAGGCTGGACATGATTGCAAACTTTTTTAGGCTTGGTCAGTTAACTTGATCTCGTGACCTGACCTGACATGACCTGGGGTCAAAAATTTCACACATTGTCCAAAACTGATGTACCAAAAGCTACCCCAAGCGGCGCGGCGCTACGCGCCGCGGTTTTTTATTCACACGCAAAAAACGCGACAGGGTGGCAACATACATATGCCCCCCCCCCCCCCACTGGGGCGAAGGTTAACCCTCGCCGGCGTTAACCCTACAATAAGGACATGTTCTTAAGAAGATATAGATCAGTGGGTGGCCAACCACCACAGCAGCAAGTTTAGGTGGCAAACGTTCTCGATACGATTAAATATTTACGTGCCTGAGAGGTCTTTGACCGTACTACTTATAATCATAACAACTTTACACAACCCCTAACCATAACAAAGCTGACGTGTGATCCTTCGGCTCTGTCCTACGAAGGTTGGGATTCGGATACCATGAACAGTAAAGGACGACAAAGGTGTACTACGTCAAAGGTAGTTTGAGACCGTCCTGTGCCGATTTCCAGAGTTTCAAGACATAAGAAACAGTACCTGCTGGTGCTTGAGGTCGGGCTATAGAAGCTGCGCACGGCGCTTGAACTGAACATTCGATGTATCCAGGCAAGCGCTGCGTATTTACCAGCGACTTTGCCATGGTATTTTGTTGTCGGTCTTGTTTCACTGGCACGGTCACTGATTATGCTGTGGCAGATGTGGGTAATTGTGTGCAAAATCAGATACGCATATAATGTGATGCGGGTCGGAGAATAAATATCATTGCCCTACCTGCAATGGATGAAAGCACAATTGTGCGCAATGACGTAGTTCGTCGAATGTTCCTCAACACTGGTATCAACAACTAAATCGATGTTTATCAAATGACCCGAATCACAAAACAAGTCAGTTGTAAATCATGCAGCTCTGGACCCGCATTGGTGATTTTGCCGTCCTGTTTCACACGCGTTACAGATGGTGACCCTGTGCACGTGCCTAGCCATCGGTGCACCACCTGGTAGTTACAATCACATAAATATGCGACAGGTGAGGTGACGGACACTGCGCAGGACACTGCTCAGTGGCCCGTGACCAGAGGACGGTAAATAGGACACAGCGGGTCAGTGCGAGACCCAGCGCACTCATTATGAAGCACGACTCCTTATTAGCACTCACCACCATTGCTGTAGAATGTAGATTGGTTCCAGCGACGCCATTTTCATGCATCGCGCACATCTGCAGTTGTATAAAACCGGTCTACATAAAAGTAAAAATAGCGGCCTCGGTTTTCCTGGACAGTTCAACGTACTATTGCGTACCAGGAACAAGAATGGTGAGAAATGACGAGCCTGCTACTTGCGAGTATGCTCTAAAACTTTGAAGTCCTTTTGCTATCTTCTTAGAACATTTTGTCGTGAGACATACATAGTATACATAACTAGTATGCATACATATTATACATACTTACTAGTATACATACACAGACACACCTACATTATCATAACGGAGAAAAGAAGAAGGAGCTGAGGAATAGTTCTTGTTAAACTTGTGTTTTATTAATGCTATAAACATGCTTGTTTTGCGATAAGTATTTTATGAGCATGTACATACAGCTCGCTCCGATTTTTCCCTCTAAAAGTGATTTATACCTATAAAGCAGTTTTATACATGGTTGGTCACTGTTGACTAACGTGTCAAGGCTCCGATAAAACGGTTGACTAAACTCTGACGACAGAACAGAAAGGCTGTTATTGTCCCATTCTCACCATAAGCCGTCACACCTCGTCACATCTTCAACATAAACCGTCACGCCCCGTCACATTAACCGTCACACCCTGTGTCAAATTTTGACCACGGCTTGTGATATACCCGATCACCTTCTGACCAGAGACTGTCCCAACCAGTGACCTTCGTTCGCACCAATAAACCTTCACACTTCTTCACATTCGTTAGAAAACTTACGCAGTCCATTAACCCTATTCCTGGCGGGGGGGGGGGCCTCAGGAGCCCCCCCCTGAGGTTTTTTGGTTATATCTCCCAAACGCGTTGAGCTAGGAAGCTCAAATTTTCTGACTTTTCCTAAAAGGCTTCTACGCAACATGTCTGAAAATTTTGAGTTGATCTGACCTCAGGTCAGGTCACCAGAGGCGGTTTGGTGACGCTACCTCAGAAAAGTTTGCAATCACGCCTTAGCTAGAGTTTTTGACCGATCAATTTCTTCTCTTCAGGGTTTAGTTAGGGTACCAGTATGTGCAATTTGTATATCTCGGAATTTTGATATCGGTGACCTAAGGTCAGGTCAATTTCGCGACCTCCCCATTATAAGTCAATGGGGGAAAAATCAACTCCCTGTTTTTACCACTAAAACGGGTCGGAATGGCCCCATATACCATACATGACTTCATATACGATCAACCTTCACTACCTTGAGGTCTGTTTTGCTGTTGGGCAGCTGTGAGGTCATGTGACGTCATCAAAGGTCACCAAAGGTTTTTGGCCAATAACTCCGTACAGGAACAAGATACAGACGCGTGGATGGTCTCATTGTGTTCAGCTCGTCAAGACGCATCGAATG